CAGTGGTGGGTTACCCCCCAGTTTGCACTGGTTCTATAGAACCGGTAGTAAAACCGGAAGGAGGCTCCACCCACCGACCCCGACGTCATCAGAATGCTTTTGCACATGCGGTCCTGTTGCGAATCGGTAGTAAAGGTAAGTAGAATCCACCCCTGGTGTAGTGGCAAATTAAGACCCTTATCTGAAAGCAATGTTAAAGTAATTCTTGCCCAGACTTGCAATACAGCTAATGGTTAGCCTTATGGCTTGGGTATAATAATCAATATCCAGCCATGAAAACATTACCGGTGTTTATTTAAAATGTTGAAGTTAGGTTATAAAGAAGCCACTGATCAGCAAATAGAACATTATGCTGTTTTCTGGCCAATGCTAAATCACTAAGCCATATGCTATTACCCATATACTCCAGTGTTTTGGAGAATAATATTTTCTAGAACTTCCATTTGGGTTCCAATTAATGTTGACAAATCAAGATTGAGAGTAACCTCAGACTTCATTCTGTGACTTGAGAAATGTAGGATTGCACCAGGATTCCACATATAAAGCAGGAAAACTCCTTAAAACAATTAATGGGATCTTAAAGTTGCCTACTGGTATCTAATCAGAGAAGAGGAAAGCTTTTCAATATATGTAGAGTTGGTTTAACCGCGAAGCTCAGAATGACATTGACTATAGCAGAGACAGATTTTGATGGCAAACAGCGCTCAAAATCCAAAACAATCCATAGCATTGTGGCATTCTTTGGAAATGTTGCGAATAGATTCTATGGCATTTTTAAATTTGCAAAATGATTTATGATTATATCACTCCTTGTTACCACCATATTAAAGGTTGACTGTAATAAGTGACTTTAACATAGAGAACTGAAGTTAGGCAAGATTACCTTGTCACTGCCATATGATCATTGCCATTTCACTCTTTGATACTTGGCTCGGACATTCATTTACTACATGTAGAAGCCATAGCAAAGATGGACTGATCACAGGAATGATCACTGGCCTATCTGATTACAAGTAAAATAAAAATGCTTCTGCAATGATAGAAATGGCTATCTACTCTATCGGTGCCCTGTTGATTTTTTTTATTTCCATTCAATACACATTGCACAAGAAATTATATGAACTACTTCTAGAGAGAAAACTAGAGTGATTAGAGAAATGGTAAGCACAATTACATAACATCACCCATTCTTATGGCTGCTGGAAAGATACAGGATTTAAATTAGCCATCATCCCAGTCCTTGGCTTCATATTACATCATCTGGCTTCTAGGTTTAAGCCCAGTCCTCTATTAACTATTAGACAAATGTTTTTGCTACTCATAGTGACTACTTTCCATGCAGATATTTCTATTGAGGAATACTGGTACTATATACCTGTTAAACAAACACATATGTTTCAGAGGATTTGGGGAAAGGTTGTAGAGACTGATGGCCAGGCTTGCTGTTCCTTCTGTCCTTAAATAAATGGAGGAAATACTTTAAACCATACATTCCAGTGGTGGGTTGCTCCCAGTTCGGTCTGGTTCTATAGAACTGGTAGTAAAGCCAGCAGGAGGCTCCACCCACCCGTCCCAACATCATCATGGGTGATCTGTGCATGCGCAGAAGTGTGCACATGCGCGCAAGCAAAGCAACTACACACACACTCCCGTTGAGAACTGATAGTAAAGGTAAGTAGAACCCACCCCGATATATTCCCTTGTAAATTCCAGGCAATATTTATAGTAGTGGTTAAATTGTTTTTTTTTTAAGGAAATCATTCATCATTATGTGTCACCACTGAGAAAACATTAATTTTCCATAGAAAGTATTAAAAGAATTCCACATTGTGCTGCGATAATACATTGGCTCCTAATGTGTTTTTCATTCAGGCAAAGAATGTACTTAAAATGTCTATAGGTCAGTTTCTTAAATGCTTCTTAGCATTTCCAAAGCTCAATCTCGGATCTCATTTTAAGGCACTGTCTGGAGGTCATGCCTGCTTATTTGTCTTTATGTATGTTTTAAACACAAGAATGGCATTCATGTAACAGAAATAAATAGAGCTTCTTAACATTAAAGTACAGAGATCATTCTGAGATGTGTGTGAATGTACATATTGTATGTGTGAGTTTTGAAGACTGGCATTTCCAGCCTATGTTAGTGAAGCAATACTTTAGATTAACATCTGTGTGCAGAGCATGAGGGCTTTGCAGTAACCTGCCTTGAAGAGCTAAAACTATTTTTCTTTGAAAACAATCTTCTACGTTCACTATGGATTCAGTACATAAACAACTTTCCGGTAAGAGAGAGAAGAGAGAGAGAGAGAAAAAAAAAGCTAAGTTCATTGCAGTTTCCTTTTTTTCCTTCAATTTCTAAAGGCTCCTAATTCTGTAAAACTTGAATGGGCTTTTGGATGTTAGGCTCACTTATCTGTTGAACAAAATAGGTGTTTTTCCAAATAAGTCTTTGCAAGCCAGATGAGGCCCTGTTATATTCTTACTGATACACTTCTGTTATTTTATCAGTTTTATTTTAGACACTGGAATCTGTAAGGAATAAGGTAAAAGCTGGCATGAATCCTCTGAGCTCATAACATTACATCTCTGTCCTCAAAAGTTACTAATAAGTCATTATTTTTTTCCTTTTTAAATAAAGCAGAGATATAACCTTGCTGCTTTATGAAGACATGGTTCCTTTCTGAGAAGTAACATCATTCCCACCAATGACCAAGCTTTAGAGCCATTGCACTTATTACATCTCAAGAGCTAGCCTAAGATGTGTACAGTGGGTGGGCCAAGATCTGAGACAGGGTAGGCAATTTGGGAGATTTTAAAATAGGTCCTTAATCTTGCGCAAGACAGAAGGAAAATATTTTGACCCTTAACATCCCAATACCAAAAAATAAAAAACATGCACGTAGGGGCACTCAAAAAGTTGAAAATCTTAGCCTTGCCTACCGGTACTTTAGGGGGTCTTTGAAAAAGATGTTGGCAAACTACATTTTGTAGGCCAGTTCTATAGGAAATTATATGAAAGGCTAAGGCGATAGTATTTTGAAAAGCTCAAGTCCTGCCAAGTTTTTGTTTAAAGGCCTCTAAAGCCCTACTCAGCCCACACTTTTGATATTTGAAAGGCTTCTTTCTCCTACCTAAACTTGCCTCTTAAGAATGATTAAGAGGGATCACTCCAGTTCATGCCACCTTTTGACATGGACAGTAGGACTTTCCCAGAGGTGGCTGTTACACTGTAGAACTGTTTGTAGGGGCTTCCACTACTTCCTTTTGTCATCATATTAAAGCATTCTGTTCTCCTTGCCTTAGATACCATCAGTTTGCTTTTATGAGTAGGGATCCTCTTTTTAATAGAATTATTTTACTATTGCCTTTATTTAATCTGCAATCTGTTGTTTATTTTTATGATTGTATTTTTCATTTTCATTGATTTTGCAAAATTGCAGAATATACACTTCAGAAAAATAACAATAGGGAATGTTGGACTGTAGGCATCAATTTTGGGCAGGTAGGCATATTTTTTTTAATGATCTCCCTCAAAAATAATTCCCTCCTTGTAGAAAACTAGAGCATCTACAAATGAACTTTGCTAAAACTATGTGATGTATTAGATATGAGAACTTTTCCATTAGGGATAGTTTGGAAACATGACAGCTCACCCCAATCTGCTGTGGCATATTCTAGAATGCTATTATTACTGTAAATCACCTTATTTATTTGGAGTCCTTCCACAATCGGCTATATAATGTTATTCTGCATGTTCTGCATCTTCCTCATCAGCAGTTTATAATAAGGAAATCCATTTAACTTTCATATAGTGATGTTCAATGGAATGATGCTACACCAGGATTTAAATATAAGTTGCACCCCTGCTATTTTCAAATAGTACAAAGTTAGATCCAGCAAAGTTTTCATAAGCCTTAGGCCAAAACAAGGCCAGCTGTAGTACAAATAATTAGGAATATGAAAGGAAACCAGTTTATTCCCAGTAACATGACAGCTATCGGCCTTAACACTTTCACAGTAGTATTTAGCTAAATGCATAAAAGCTGCATCCTTATGAGCTAGTATCAGAACTGTGATGCTGTAGTACTGTATTAGCATTTTCAACAAACTACATTTCCCAGAATTCATTGGAGAAGTCATGACAGCTTAGCTGGTAAAATAAAACATCTTAAATTGACATTGTGCTCAGACAGTAGCTGCTCAGTGAATGGATACCCTCAATGTTGTTACTACTTCCCAGAGGGATGCTTGAGAAAATGAGCCAACCATTACTATTATGAGTGCTGTGTGAAAACATAATAGTATAAACGATATAAAAGTGTCAGTAGTGAAAATCAAAACCAATGACAATAATTTTTCTTCTTGTCTGCATTTTGAATATATCTGTTCAAATTTGATTGTAAACATGCAATTTCATTGTACCTCTCTTCTATACTGTTCAGGTAGAGGAACATGTGCATAAAATTTAAAAATTACAGCCACTTGCAAGATTATGCTTATTTTCACAAACATCGTTTGATATTTTCAGAGTACTGTGTATGCTTTCAGTTCTCTGAGCTGGCAACCACATTTTTTTTCTTAAATTTCAATGAATGGAAGGCTAATCTCCCCTTCCCATCATCCACAGAGGTTTCCCGTCAAAAGCCAGACAATTACCCAGGGGTGGTATATCTGAAGAAATATGACTGTTGCTAAGAAGCAGCCCATGTTCTTCTATTATCTGGAAAACAATGTTGGTACTTTTTGGGCTAAATTAAATCTGGCTACTGACAATTTGGCTCCTCAAATAGGAAATTAAACAGCAACTTATTTATAGAAATACAACTCTGAATATCATCCTCATCCTCGTCATCCTCAGCATCATCCCTACCACCATCCTCTTATGATGCTCTAAATCTGTCAGTTGAGTTAGCCTCCCATTTCACATCATTGTGTGCCACATCATGGCACATCATTTCAAGGCTATCCTCTGCTCAAGATAAGGAGGAACGTCATCTTACCTTCCCAATTAAGGCAGCAAATTGGTTATTGAGCATTTTGATATCATCTTTCTCCTTGGTCTTTATCTCCTGGAGAGCTGGGTCAACATCCAGGTGGAGTGGCGTCAAGAGATCTTCGTTGAAAGACACTCTTGGATATGTATGATAGTAGCCATGTCCTGTGAGGCTGGAGGAACTGAAGCTTTTCTTGCTGGCTTCTCCCATGGTAGGACTGCTGCAGGCCCCATCCCTTAGAGAATGAGGAGAATGCGAAGGAGAACACTCTCTTCTCCAGCTATAAGAGGCTTTGGGAGAAGTAAGGGAGCTGGTACTGAAGTTCCCAGAATGACTTGTCATCCTTACGATGAGGGAAAGCAAAGAAGCACTAGGTCAGCTACCGAGAGAGAGAAGTAGCAGGTTGGGGAACAGCAGCGTAGATTAATTCCTGCCTCTGCTGAGCTCAGTTTAGCTAATGAATTGCAAACACCTGTTCTCCTATGTTCATAAAGTCAGGAGGGTGTGTCTGTTGATGTAATCCAGATCAACCTGTTGGCTTTGTCTCTCCCTCTTTCCTCTCCTGCCTTTTGTAGTTTTGTTTATGAGGTGAGCACATATGCGGAGACACTTGTAGGAAAAGAGGGAGGAAGAAAAAAAAAAAAAAAGCCCAAACCAAAATTATTCCCTTGCCTCCATCTACTTGCTTCCCGAGGAGAGGAAGTTAAGAGGAGGTTTCCTCAGCCTTAATAGCGAACAACAGGCTTGAACAAAGACACTATCTTGGCTGAACCTCAAGATCAGTCAAGAGCAGGAAGCCTTTGAGAGTTGAACATGTCAAAACATTCAGGCCCTGCTTCTTCTACAGTGACTGTACTGCTCGTTTCTATTGTAAAATGCCAATTAAAGATTTTGCATGCTCAGGTCATTTAGTTTCAGGCAGTTTGAATACTGAGACAGATTCCAAGCACTTTTCTGTCTGGCCTGTCTAATCAAAGCTGCTTGATTAAGCTGCAAAATTATACATACAATAATATACAAAATGTATATACATACAATAATATACAAAATTATTTCTATCTATGCTTAGACGAAGTGTGGGGATACTAATGTATTTAATCATTTGGATTAAATTAGGCTGCAGTTAAAGATGCTTGAATAATTCAGTGTTCACAATTCCTAATAAGAACTGAAAATATTCATATTTGCCAGAGAGTTGTTCAGCTTAAGCCATCCCTCAGATTTACAAGTGGAGTATATTTTTAAGGCAGTCTGACTTCATTAGAAAGATTACATATTTGTGGGTGGAGAAGGTTTAAAAAGTAAACAAAAGAGGAAGCATGATAGAACAAGTAAGCATATTATTAAGGAAACATAGATCAAAAATGAGACTCATTCCTAAATTTGTCATACAAAGAACAGTTTTGTGTCACTCTTAGAAATGGTATTTGTTCTCTTTGTATTTCATTGGGTGTTGCATATTGCTAGTTAAATAAACTACAGACATTTCAGATGAAATGCAAGTATTGTAATCAATTCCTGTGATGTATTTTTTAGTCTTTTATTTTAGACTTGGTCTCAGTTGCTCAAAAAAATAGTACCTCAAAAGAATATTAGGGATTACACAATACTATACGACTTTTGTTGGTGGAAAATTATATCATTTCCATCTTGTACTTGTATGGCCAATGACATAATTGTGCCACACAATGATGTCATTCATATTTCCTAGAAAGATGTTTAAATCCAAATAGGAACCTGATGCACCTCTATGCGTACATAACACCCCACTGAGATGAATCTGATTTAAATGTTTTAATTTTAACTGAATGTTGACCCTATTTAAAGATTAGATTTTTAATATACAAAATCTATGCTCCTTCACGGAATTTCCAGACGTTGCCTTACATTTGTAATCATCATACAGTTCTCTGTCATTTTTCTGTCTTTTTTTTCTACCAGCATAGGATTGGTTATTATATACCCTGTTTCTCCCAAAATAAGACATCCCCTGATAATAAGCCCAATTGGGCTTTTGAGCGCATGGCAATAAGGCCAGGCGCTTATTTCAGGGTTCAAAAAAAATATAAGATGGGTCTTATTTTCAGGGAAACACGGTAGAAGTGTTTATCTGGAAGCATCTAAATTGAGCAATCCTAAATTCAAATTAAGGTGTTCCAAAGTCAGCATGCCAATAAATCCTAAAGCCTGACTAAAAGTGGCTCAGGAGAGCAGGAAGGGTAAATGTAAGGGTGCTCTTCCTGTGTTTTTCATTTAAATTGTCTCTCCATTGCACTTAATGGGAGTAAATTTAGACCAATTTCTGAGCTAATCTATTCTCGATTGATATGACTGCATCTGGGATCCCGAATCTAATCTAGCCTGTCTCTGCCACGCTCATTTTTGCATTTTCCATAGTTGGGATTTCATTACCTTCTAAAAATCTGACCTCTAAAGATGAACTGTATCTCAAAGACCCAAAGGTGCTTTTCCAAAAGGCAACTGACTTTCTTGGGTTTTTTTTCCCCTTGAAAACATTTTGCTTTTCATCTAAGGAGCTTCTTCAAGTTCTAGATGAATGAGAATCTCCATGGACTTGTATTTCAAAGTATTTATTCTCCATCCAAAATGGAGAAGAAACATTAAACATTGGCCTCCATAAAATGAAAATTTCTTGTAGGTTCTTGTAGATTATACGTATAGTAGATATATAGTAGATATATAGTTCTTGTAGATTATATGTATAGTAGGCAAAATTAGTTATAGTTTATGTGAGAAGTTAACCTGATTTCTATCTGGTCCTTTGCATTTATATAATATGTAACTCTCTATTTAGCTTTTCTTAATTACTATGATATATAGGGGAGAATATCTGCCAACCCTTATGAAGTGGCTAAAAGAATTTAAGGGGAAAACAACTATTAAATATTTTGTTGAGGGTAGTAAAATGAAACCTCTTTTTTTGGATTAGTAGACATCCAACTGACACAGGATGACATTTGTGCGCTTTTGAAAAAAATTAATTGGTCCCAGCTGGTGTTATAAAAAATACATGGTGCTCTTGATAGTAATAGTAATGCACATTTGAAACCTGGTGCCTTATATTGGTAAGAAAGGCTTCATATCTTCTATGAATTATTTTGCCAGTTGTGTCTCATAATTTCTTGTTCCTGAAATCTAGATGTTATGGCAGTGCTTCTCAAACTTTTTATTTCATTACCTACATTTTTTTAAACAGAAAGTTGTTTTTCCCAAATGTAGGTAAAACACTTTTAAATCAATTTAAATGTCCTTGCTGTGGGTTTATGTATTGCTACCCAAACAAAAACTACTTTTACCTAAATTTGGGTAATTTACCTAGGTTTGGAAAATACTATACTATGGACTGTTATTCTGTATTAACTGACATGGGAAGAAGAACTTCTGCTGGAATTTTAATTGGATATTTATTTACATTCTTTTTGGAAAGGCGATCTGGATCTCCCACCCAAAACTAAGCAATGAGATACCGTGGGCCTCACTTCAAGCTTTCCTGAATGCTTCCTGTCCTTACCAGATACCTGAAGCTCTGGGGTGGATCTTGGCAATTCAACTTTACAAAATTAGCAAGTTCTTCACCACTGCTTGTTTTTCTACTCAGTCAAAACAAAATATTTTCTGACATATTTTCTGTCTTACCAGTCTGAACGTGCCAAATCAGGGAAAGGGATTGCCTCCCTCTTAAAAAATGCATGGCCCAAAGCTGATCTGATTATAATTAATAAATGGTAATTGATATAAAGATGTGGATTAAGTTCGACTTTTGTACACTAGTCATGGTTAGACATCAGTTCTAATCTGCTGTTCTGTGGCTTATCACCATGAAACATTGCAGAGAGACCTGTAAAAATCAAAGCCACTAGACTAGACTGTTCTGGTCAAATCTCTGGTCTCATAATGACACCTTCAACTGGTTATACCAAGGATAACTGGTCTCCGGTGAAGGAACAATGGTTCAGCTTCTGCTTCTTGCTGGTTTAATCTATAGAATTTTACTGGTTTGATGTCATCTGAAATAAAGAGAATGGGATGTTCTCCAAGAAAGGTTTACAAAAAGAATTATAGCTGGCAAAAGATGGATCACTGAGAGGATTGTTTACTGAAAAAATGATTCTAAAATGTTGTTTTAGGCTGCTTTCCCAGGGGAATTTAGGTAAGTTAAAAGATGTATGATGCTAATGGAGTCAAGCATAATATACAACGTCTCTAGTCTATCACTAGTTTCTGTATCTCTGTGAAATAGCAACAGGCCTAGCGAACCTAAACTAGTCAAGAGTCCAATGTAGATATCCCTTAAGTTGAATAACTATTTCTTACAATTAAAGAAAAAAGAGTAAGAGTGTAAGAAAAATAAAACTGAAATATATATTTAAGAGCAAAAATACTATTGGAGTCGGCAGCAAAAATCAGTTGGGCCTATGTGAAATGGCCGCTGCATATTCCTTTTTCCTTTACCTGGCAGAAAGTTAACAATTAGTCTACTGAATTATCAGTAATTTATTAATTATTACAGAGATGAACATCCAACAACTGAAAGAAGCTGTGCTTGACAGTGTAGCATGGAGAACACTTGCCTATAAAGTCGCCAAGAGTTGGACATGAGTGAACAGTTTAAACTATTACTACTATTTCTGAATTATCAGTCTTCAAAATTAGGTTTTTGAATTAGTAATCCTTAATCTCTGGATTACTTCTTCTTTCTTTACTCTAAATCAGTGATGGGGAACTTTTGGGCTCGGCATGTCAAAAATTCAGAAAATGCCTAATGTAACTGCTGGCATATCATTTCCCCCAAACAAAAGACAATTGTTTATCTCCCCCCACATCCATCTAGGCCACCTTGAAGCACGGCATTTAGCAGCAGTGCCAAGGCTGGACCTGAAATAGAGGCCCAGGCCTTGACTTCACCCCTAGAGCCAGGGCTGCCACTCAAAAAAGGCTGCCTTGTGCCATGTCCCCAAGGCATACTAGCCTACAGAAATGGTGCAATTGCCCCTGTGGCCCAGCACTCCTCAGGGTCTGCTGTGAAATGTTTATCTTCAAGTGGGCTTCTCTTTCTATTGACAGGCCCCTGAGGCACAGCTGAGGTTGCTCTGAGTCATAGAATAGAACAGAACAGAACAGAACAGAACAGAACAGAACAGAACAGAACAGAATAGAATAGAATAGAATAGAATTTTTTATTGGCCAAGTGTGATTGGACACACGAGGAATTTGTCTTGGTGCATATGCTCTCGGAGTACATAAAAGAAAAGATACGTTCATCAGGAATCATAAGGTTCAGGGCCTTTCTTCTTGAAGCAGCTATGGAAAATGCTTTTCTGCAGTTTATGAAAACCGTGCTAAAACATGCCCTACTCTTATGCTATTTTTGGAGGGTACAGAGACAAGAAGACCCCATTTTTTGTAAATGTTTTTCACGCAAGATGTATACACTTTGGAGAATGCTCCTGCATGGCCTTGCACCTGACAAAAAGAGTGGGAAAACACACCCTGTTCTTGCACAACTTCCAGAGGGTCTGGACGCTTGGTATGGTCATAAAAAAATAACATGGCGTGTCACATGTCATGGGTTCACCATTACCACTCTAAATCTCATGTTCCTCTATCAGTTTCATTTTCCAAAATCTTCAGTTC